CCCTGGCTGCATTGCTGCGGGTGAAGCGGGGCAGCATCTCCTCCAGAATCCAAAGATCAGAGGTGGACACAGCACAGGGAAGGGAAAAGAAAAAGAATATATGAAATGCCACCCTGGGCTGGGCTTTTCCATCCCTGCCTGCCAGGCAGCCAAGGGCAGAGACCTGCTCCCTGCAGCCACCTCTGCCCTGCGGGCTCTGCCGGGGGCTGCAGGGAGGGAAGACAACGGCTCTGCCCCCAGCTCTCCTTATTTCTCCTTGAGCAGACCCAGAAACAGACTCACCTGCCTGTTTTCTTGTGGATCACTCTGCAGGCACATGATGCTGCAATTGTTATGTAGTTAAACCTGCTTAACGGTGAAAGGCGAGCCCTAGAAGCTGTACGTACAGGAGGTATAAACCAGACCAGAGCAGACCTAACCAAACAGTGGAGAGAAGCTGAGCAGCTTGCTTTTTCCCTTTTTTTTTAAAATGATGCTGCACTTGGAGGAGGTTAAGGCTGAGCTGGGGCCCCAGGAGCCCCCCACGTCCAGCTGTCATCCAGCCCATGAGACGTCCCTAACACTGAGCCAGCACCTGCAGAGCCTGGCCCCGGGCATGGGGGCTTCTTGGCTGAGAAAGGACCTTTGGCAGTGAGGATGCCCAGGTTTTACCCGTCCTGCTGTGCAGGACATCCCTGCACCGGTTCCTGGGGCAGCAGTAGAGGGGATGAGCCCACCCCCGAGCAGCGAGGGTCTGGTGAGCCCGGGTTCCTGGATGATGCTCTGCTTTCCACCTGCAGGAACCACCTCCTGAACACGGTCTCCATTTCACCCCGCAGGTGCTCGGCTTACTGGTGTGGGCTCTCATCGCCGACACAACGTACCACCTCCACGCAGCATACGGCTGGGTGATGTTTGTGTCCATCTTCTTCTGGATAGTAACAGTCCTTTTCTTCGTGACTTACCTCCTGCAGCTTCAGCTGAAGTTCTACGTGATCCCCTGGCCCCTCGTGGTACGTACCCGAGAGAGAGCGAGGGGAGGTCCCAAGTGGGAAACATCCTGGGGAGATGCTCTGAGAGGACCGGGGCTTTAGGCTTTCCTGGGTTGATGGAACAAAGTCCCCCGCGCTTTGCACAATGACGTTTCATTCTGCCCCTCAATTGCTTAGGAAATTTTCAAAACAGGGAGCCCTGTATCAATCCAGAAAGTTACAGCCACCGCATCACTGCTGCAGTCACGGTGTCAACCAGAAACCGCTCGGCGCAACCTGGGGCGCATTTAATGAGATGTTAACCTGAGGCTTGCTCGCGGCGCGAGGGGCTGGGCCCTTTTCCTCTGGTTCTCCTGGGGAAGAGGGAGGAACGTGAAACTGAGCCTTTTGCTCATCCCAGCGCACGAGTCTGAGCCCAGACCTCACGACCTGCTCTTTGCCTTCCCCAGCTGATGATCTTCAACGCTGTGGCAACCGTCCTGTACATCACCGCCTTCGTAACGTGCGCGGCTGCCGTCCAGCCTACCTCGTGGCGGCAGTGGGATTACAACCGGAGAGCCGCGGCCTGGGGTGTGCTCCTCTTCCAGTTCTTCGCCTGCCTTGCGATGATCGCCTACGGGGCGAGCACCTTCTTCAGCTTCCGCGCCTGGAAAGGACTCGGCAGCAACGCGGCCACCAGCCAAGTGACTGACCATGCGTAAGGAGCAGACAGCAAAGCCCAGCCCTGGGCCACCCTGGGCCAGCTCATGCCGGGCTTGGTGGCTCGGAGCCTCGCGTGCCACCAGGTCTCGTTCTTGGACCAGCCTGTACTGGCAGGGACGGCTGGTACCAGGTCACGTGGACGCTGCTCTGTGGTCTCTGATGATGCTTCCAGCTGATGTGCCCACAGCACAAACCCACTGGCGCTGTCACCCACAGCCTCGCCGGGAGGACATGGACTCACTGGAGGCTGAAGCTCCCGCTCGTCCTCGGGGTTCATCCAGATCCTCGCTGGAGCAGCTCGGCCGAGGGGGCTCAGCCAATTCAGCACGCTCCAATACTAAAATTCACTAAACCAAGCCCAGGCTCCTGTCTCTGGTCTCTCACAGCTACAGTGTAAGTAATTGTAATTAACGCGACCCATAATCGGTGGCAGAGCTGGAAGATGAAGGCTAAGCAAAGGAAGCAGTCTAAACTGTTCTTGTATCGATTCCTAACAATTTGAAGCACAAATTTTATGCTTTAAATAAAAATCTTCTTAAATCCAGCAGTGGAGTCTGTCAAGAAAAAAAGTTTGTCTTGCCAGAAGGCGCACATACAGCACGGCATGGCGTGGAGAGCAGGGATGACTCCCCGCTGCACGTGGGCATCGCAGCCTGGCCCCAAGGCGGGAGGTGCCAAGTCCCACAGGGTTCGCCTTGCTTTGCGTTACGTACGCACGCGCATACGGGCACAGACGCACAGAGCGTGCATCCAATACGGCAAGAACACGGAAGAGGTGCCAAGGCTTCGCTGCGCTCCCTCCTGCAGACTCGGCACCACACACGCCACGGAGCTAACAGGACCACCTATTAACCGGCAAGTCGATTTCGCACGGTAGCTACAGGTGGCCTTCAAAAATTAAAACTAAGTCTGCAAACGCTCTGGGAACACAGCAGGGTCAGCGCCTCAGGAGCACACAGAACCACGCTGCTCCCCCACGCTGCAGACGACAAATTCAGCTTTTCATTCTTGGGGACACAGCTTGGCGTTTGTCAGAACTAGAAGCGATGCTCTGCCTGACACAACAACTTTTCCTTTCACACCCTCCTTGTACAAGCTAATAAAAATAGATGAAACGGGTTCAATTTATGTCCAGGTATTTCTACACAGGAAAGCCGGTGCACAGTGACTACGCTGCAAAATTTACCGCATGCTCTGCATGGGAAAAGTTTTAACAACTTGTCTACAGAGGCTCGGGAAATTTAACTGCATTAATGGAAGGTGTGAATTGAAAAGGACTGGACAAACTGCGGTAGCCCCTGGCAGACCGGCCTTTATTTGGTTTTCAGTGAGCTAAATGAAGGGTCAAGTTTCCACAACTATGACTGTATGTATAAAAATCAGTGAGAAAATTAGCCTCTTTGTGCATTGTTATGACAATGTTAAAACTCTTAAAATGCAACGTCAGACTTGCAGACAGATAGTCCATTACATAGAGAAATTTAATCTCTTTAAAATGCCCCTCTGCCTGATGGAAAATGCATCGAACCAGGGACGAGAGACAGGAGTGTCGCAGAGGGACGAGTTATTCTGGGAGCAGCAGAAGGGAGCGGCACAGGGGCAGAAAGGTATTGCAGGAAACACCGAGATACAGTTCCCCATCAAAGTAAGAATTCCTCCCCAGCCGTGCCTTCTAGCCTCTGAAATTACGAGAGACCTTGCTTAAAATACAACAGAACTCCCTTCAGAAAAGAACTGCCTGAGGTATTCACTTATACTGCCGTTAGTTTAAGTAATTAATGGAAACAACTGTAATAGGGGAAGAATGAAAACTTTTTTCAGTTAAAAAAAAAAAAGACAGCGATATTTTTAGTTTTAGCTGCAAATAATTGTCTTAGCTCAACAATTAAAATATGTCAACAGGATTCTTTTAAAATTTGATAAAATCTGTTCCTGACATTAAAGAGTCAACGTTATACGAACAGATGAGAAGTTAAATGACGAACTCCAGTCCATACACTGTCAGTAGAAAAACAACTAGATTTTAAAGTCTTAAACTTCTCTGACGTTAACCTCAGGATTCTCATGGCAGGGGAGCTGCACCGAGTTTGTATTAAAAACACAACCCCCTGTTTTCATAATTTTTTTTCTGGGAAGAAACATCTCGGAGCATCATCCCTGCTCGCTAACTAACTGCCCGTGCGTGCCTGAGCACCGACTTCCGTGCTCCCGGGAAAAGCTGCTTTTTACGGCACAGCTGGTAGGTAGACCTGTAAAAACCCGTGAATCCTGGCGGGACGACCCCAGCTGACGGAGCTTCACCGACACTGCTGCTGTCAGAAGGATCGGGAACATGCATTTCAAACCATGGTACCGCAACTTAGCATTTTTAGGGATGTGCTCACGTTGCCTTAGCAGGTTACTGTTGCTGAAAAGAGAATCAAAATGAGCTCGTGTGGTGTTCACCGGAACAGAAAGCCTACAAAACTGCTTTTGATCAAAACACACCCAGAAGGATTTCTACTCCCGTTTAAAAACAAAACAAAAAAACCCCCAGACATTTCTTGTAATTTTTAGTTTTGCTTCAGCTTCTGGCTTTTATCATTCAAATCTGACAAGCATATATTTATTGAAGGAGATTAAAAAAAATTCTGAAGGAATAGTTTGTTTGGTTTTTTTTAAAGGAAGTGTGTGTGCGTATCTGGGTGTGTGCACGCATGAGGGAGATTTCAACATACTAGAATCATTCCAGACAGAAAACTGCAGAGCCATAAGCACAATATACTAGGAAGTTAATACGATTAATTACTGCAGCACTCATAAATTTGGTACACGCAGAGTCAAAATACTAGGACGCTACACTTAGCATTGCTAGCCAGCCTTTAAAAAGCCATTATAGTCTGGCCACAAACACGTTTAATGCTATCGTGTTTTGTAGTGTAAGTATGGCTTATTGTTGCCTGCATGGCTAGGAGTCTTGGCTGGTATTCAAAAACTATTTCAGCTGAAGAACGAAGTCCTAGTGCTGTTGAAATCACTGTCAGACATCAATAGGAACAGGATTTCATCTCGTTCGTTCCTGTAAGACGTTTCTCGTCCACAAACAAAAGTCTGTAATGGCCCAGCCGTATTTCTCCTTTGTCTAGGCTAGGTTCTCATCAGGTGACAGCCACCGATCAACACCTTTCCGCTGTTGAAGGGCATCTCCCCTGCTGCATCAGCCTGGGGCGGGACAGAGCGGAGGGTTCTGCTCACCATCCTGTGTTTCTATCTACTCTTAGGCTTTTAAAGACATACTCGCATTGACTGAGCACGTCATTAAGCGGCAGATTAACGTGCCTGAGCAGTGTAAGAACAGAGGGTCCCTGTAGCTCCAAATGCATTTTAATTCCAACCGCCAACAGAGACGCGCCTGGGGTTTTGCGACAGGCTTATGGCTCCAGCTCCACCGGCAAGCCACTCATCTATTTTTCAATGGATGCTGAAAAATGCATTGCTGCACTAACATTGCTAACAGTTTAATAGCAAAACCACGCCTTTTAATCAGCATGCTATTTAGAGCAGTAAATGACACGGTGGTAAACATGTCGGTGCCCAACCTACCGTCAAGCTTATATTACTGGAACTAATGCAGCTGTGCCACTGCCGAAAAGAAAGTAAGAAATTGCATACATAGCCCAGATTTCAGTTTATCGTGGTTGTTTTTCCCAGTGTAGAATAGCAGGGGCCTGAACAAAAGGGAATCAGAGGTGATTAAGGGTGAGACTTATAAAAGCCAGAGAGCAGACAGATTTACACGCTAACGTATCAATTGTCAGAGCTGAGAGACAGTCTTACACTAGAACATCTACAAATCAAAACATATTCTTCCATTGGAAAGCTGTAGCACTTAAGATCCTATTAAAGTATTTAAAAAAAACCCCAAAACAACAAAACATTGACAGGGAGGAACTCAGAGGTTATGTATTCGCACCTGTCCTTAAACGAGCTGGAGGGACATACTCTTTTGATGCTGCCTTCTTGATTCTGAAAAGTTCTACCTTCTGGGGAGATGGTTAAGATGCCAACCCAAATAACACGCGCACAGGAGTGACTGTCGTCTCAGTGTGCTGGGCTTCTCAGCATGCACAACGGTTAGGCTGGTGTACAAATACTGTGTATTTATTAAAAACAATTACTCAGGTAGAGGTGAAATCGTTGTCTTCTGTGGTCACTGTTCACAAACAGATGTTTCTAGGATCAGGCCTCTGAAGGTATAGTCTGGAGGGTGAATGAGTTTTCATCATGTAAAAGCACCTTGATTCTCATGACTTTTAGCGTTTTCATGTCCAAATGAAAGCAGCAGCACTCATCTGGAGAAGGAAAGCAGTGCATAAACTGTTCTAGGAGGAGGATATTGATGATTTGTTTAATGAAGTCACCACTAACCCACTGCTTAAATCCAGACTTCGACCTTCTTTTTCCTAGAAACATGGAAGAAAAAGAAATCCTTGACTAAATGCCGTTTTGGAATAAACTTCAAAAAAATGAAACGGACAAGTCATATTCTGTTTGTTGTATCAATATAAATCAATATAAAAGTACATGTTACCCGAGCATCTATGATTGAATGTGAACCCAAACTTCAGGAAGAGATTGTGCAGGAATCCCCGGAGTAAGGTCGCTGTCGCTCTGCGAGCCGTACGAGCAGAGTCTTGCTTACCTCTGGTCAAGAACGGCCAGCCAGCAGGCTCACCCAGCGCTCAAGGAACTAGTGAAATCTAGCTTCTGTGGTTTGCCTCTCAGGTGTCCCCAAAAGTGCAAACCCCAGCTGAAACTAGTCCTGCTGCTGAGACACGGACTGTCTCTTTCTCCTCAACCTGCCCCCATTTTCATAAAATTTAAAGGGGTGGGGGAAGACAGCAGAGGACGTAATTCTGACAACAACTTTGACTCTTCTGCTCCTTTGTAAAGTGTGACTGGACAGACACTGGAGAGTGTTCACATGTATTTAATTTCCCTAGGAAAAATCTCATCCAAAAACCTTAATACTTTGTTTGTTTGCTTGTTTCTCCAGCCTGGACAGAGAGGAGGAGAAATAAAAATGGAATAATCTTAAAAAGCTAATTTTGGATTGGCTGAAAAAAAAAAAAGTATCACAGAATCACAGAATGGTCAAGGTGGGAAGGGACCTCTGGAGGTCACCTGGTTCAAACCCCCTGCTCAAGCAGGACCACCCAGAGCTGGCTGCCTGGGACCGTCTCAAGATGGCTTTTAAATATCTCCAAAGATGGAGACTCCTCACCCTCTCTGGGCAACTGTGCCAGTGCTCCGTCACCCGCACAGTAAAAAAGTGTTCCCTTCTGTTCAGTTGGAAATCAGCATTCAAAGATGCAGAATGCGTGTGTTTCAGGAGAACTGCTCCACATGCCAGCTTCACTCATGTTTTCCAGAAATTATTAAATGTACATTTTGAGTTTAAACAGCCACCCAGTGAAGTTGTTTTCCTTTTGACCCTGTACAGCCTTTGAATAAATGCTGCTACCTACTGTAGTAACGCTGCCTTTGGTACTCTCAGGCAGAGCTACACAAAACCAACAGCCATTATGCTAACGAAAATAAACAATGTAACATACTTACAGCTCTGTAATCCAAGAACATTTCTTTGAAAGCCAGAAAGTCAGTGAACGTGAGAAGCATATCAAATATATCACCTGCCATTTCATCTTTGTGCTGTCTGTAGAGACAAGGTGGGGAATTAGAAAACTGTGTGGTAAACAAGCTCTTATTTTAAAATGGTAAGAGGTCAAAAGGATACCAAGACAAGTAGAACAATATCAAAATTTAAACAAGAATGTTGTTATGAGTCTTTCGTAAAGCAAAACTTTAGCCAAATATTATCTTGTAGTATTCCCAATCCAAGTACATTAATATATTATATTTATGTAAGTCCAAGATGTAAGAGTATCACATCAATCCTTGAAAGCCAGACAAAGAAACTGACCTGTAAGTCAACAGAAGTAACACTCAACTAGCATTTATCTATTTATTTCTCTTGAGCACTGAAACAGCTAGACAGTCCCTTGGAAGGTGAGAAAGGTTGGGGAGAGACACAGAACAGCGCTCATACACGTCCCTTAAGAACGAGGGACTGTACTGACAATAGTTGGTAGAGGACTTTTGATGAAAACATTGTGGAAGAAAGACACTGTGCTCCCATATCGGCATATTTCAACGAGACTTTCTTAACAGTCGAGGGTTGGGTTGGGGTTTGGGGTTTTTTTAAATTATTTAATTCTTATCAGAAGGAGCTTTATCTTTAACAGTCTATCTTTTAAGCATGCCATGTGCATTCACTGTAACTTCCCAATGTTTTATTTAAAAAAATTAAATAAATTCAAATATTGTAAGATACTCAGTTCCCAATGAGACTTGATTTTCTTCAAGGGGAAAACCAACGATCTTTTGAAAGTGACCTCTTCATAAAGTTGGTTAAACTGAAGTGACCAAATGCAAAAGCTTAAGACAAATTAAACTTTTCTCTGAACGCTTTCCATAAAAATCACAATAAAGACATTATATCACATGACTGCTGAAAAGACTACCAGGCTATTTAAGTGTCCAACACAGAGCCTAAAGAGATAGATGAGACCCAACTTTTTAAGGGTCTGGCTTCCAAGTGACAATGATGGAGAAAACCCTTCAGTGTTCTCATTCCAATTTCTCTTCCTACCCCTTAAACCCCAATATATTTCAGCGTAAGAGTTCAGAAATTTAGAGTAGCACAACATGCTGAAGGCAAGAAAAGTGGTCAGTCATTGCATGCATGAATGCTTTTTTTTTTTTAAAATGAAAGAGGAACCTCTTCTCTTTAGAGAACCTCCCTCTAAAGGGAGAACTGTCAAACCTAAGTTTTAATCTAGACAAAGAGCTAACTGAGAAGCACATAACCTGTCCTCCAACCAAAAGCAAAGCAGAGACTTACTGCAATGACATTGTGAAAGCAGTCATATTAAAACCAGGAATCCGATCAAGCAATTTTTCTTCGATGTATTTCTCTACTAAAGAGATCTGAAAAAAACAAACAAACCACCCCAACAACATCACAACAAATTTCAGGAGCAGCTTTCAAAACAGCGCATCTTCCTTACACTGACACTTTGTATTATCCTCACGGGGCAAAGAGCTGCAGATTCCTTAGCTGGCCGGTGCTAGTTCAATTATTCACACCACCGCTGAGGCACTGAGCTGAACATTTTTGCTGGGACTACTGGTGAGAACAAAACATCTGTAGAAGTTTTCAGGTGAAACAAAGAGAAAGGAACCTAGAGCTCCAGAAAACATCTTTCTTGCTCACAGATCACGAACGAGACAGCAGGCAGTACAGCAGGCAGTACGTTGGCTCTGCTCCATGTGAACCCAGTATTTTATAAAGGGGGGAATACAGGACCCCTTCAAAAAGCCAAAAAAGCAATACATGCAAAAAATAGGAAAAAGTATCTTACATATTCATTAAAAATAGAAGTATAGATGAGCTTGTTTTCTTCTGAGTCATCAAACTCCTGGTAGTGCTTCTCCATAAAAGTCCTCTGTATTAACTGGAAATCATCATCTGGGCCACAACAAAAACGCATCATACAGTTATGAGTTTCGTCATTCTTTCTGTAACACAAAACCCACATTCACTAGTCCTCCGCTTCCCTGTTGTAACCACGGAGCCCTGCACACGTGCAGAGTCAGTCACACCAGTACCGCAGCTGCTGCTGAGCCACCATGTTTGACCCATCTGTGAGAAGACAGAGGCTGCTGGCGGAGCGCAGCACTACTTCAGTTGAGGGAGCCGAATCAACAGAGCAGCCGCACATCAGACTGCATTTGGACAGCAGCTGTGTATTCAGAATGGAGTGGGATGAACACGTCCACCTAGCAAGGTCCACAATTACTTCTTCTAAGTTTCATTTGCACTTAGTATTAGCAAAAAAGTCCTCCTGCTTTATGCTTTATTAGTAAGGTTATTTATTCTGAACCCCTTTTTGTTCAGGCTCTCAAGTCAGCGAAAGTGATAACCTCTTCCCTACAAGAATTCAAAATAATTTTTTCTTCCCTTGAGTTCAAAAATATTAGTGGAACTCCCAGATTTGTTTTCAACTGCTGAGGATTTTTTTTTTCCAGTTGTGGAAGAGAAAAAAAATGGAACCAAATTCAACAGAACAGGTATAAATATAAAATTTACTTATACACAGTGTCAATATACACCAGTCTCAGCTTTCTAACCCCTAACGTATTCAAAATCAGTTTAGTTAGCATTTCTCCAGATTCAACTACCTCACCAGGCAAACTGAGGCTGCAGAATCTACATCTCTCTGGGAAGGATGTGGTCAAAAATATTATATGCTGTTCTTATGAAGCAGCTGATGGCCGACTAGCATGAATTCTGTCTTGGCATCTTGTAAACTACTTCCTTGCACACACTGACTTCTCAGTTAAAGTTATGGTGCTGAGAATTTAGCACCTTTCATTGCCTAAGCTCACACGATGAGATTGGCGCCATTCA